AATGAGTTGCTTGGGTAAAAGTAATATCGTTGAGCTACAATTACTCCGTATATTCTATTTCTTGGAGGCTAAGAAAGATTAGGTTGAGCTAAACTTGGCCACCTAAGCTAATGATACTAATAGTTGCCTAAGCTAATTAGTTCCTAGAGCAAAAGGGAGAAGGTTAGAGAAGGACGGAGAGCAGCAAGGGGAAAAATAGTAAGGTAGGGAAATGAAAGGGAATTGGGATGAAGATTAACGGGAAGTCAAATTCGTCCGTTTGGGCTTGAGAACTGAACACATAGGCGATTTAGAAAACATGAAATGAGTTGCTTAAGTTAAACTAATATCGTTAAGCTACAGTTACTCCGTAAACTCTCTTTCTTGGAGGCTAATCAAGATTAGTTTAAGGTAAACTAATATCGTTGAGCTACAGTTACTCCGTAAACTCTCTTTCTTGGAGGCATGAAATGAGTTGCTTAAGGTAAACTAATATCGTTGAGCTACAGTTACTCCGTAAACTCTCTTTCTTGGAGGCATGAAATGAGTTGCTTAAGGTAAACTAATATCGTTGAGCTACAGTTACTCCGTAAACTCTCTTTCTTGGAGGCATGAAATGAGTTGCTTAAGGTAAACTAATATCGTTGAGCTACAGTTACTCCGTAAACTCTCTTTCTTGGAGGCATGAAATGAGTTGCTTAAGGTAAACTAATATCGTTGAGCTACAGTTACTCCGTAATATTCTCTTTCTTGGAGGCTAAGAAAGATTAGTTCGAGTTAAACTTGGCCGCTTAGGCTAATGAAACTAATAGTTGCCTAAGCTAGTTTGTTCCTAGAACAAAAGAGAGAGGGTCGGAGAAGGACGGAGAGAGTTGGAGGAAAACTTTCTTCTTGAGTGGTAGGAGTGAGGGTTAAAGGGAATTAGGATGCAAATTAAAGGGAATTCAAGTTTCATCCTCTTGGACTTGAGAATTGAACACTTAGGTGATTTAGAAAACTTTAAATGAGATGCTTAAGTTAGACTAATACGGTTTTGCACAATCACTAAGTAAAATCTCTTTTCTGGAGGCTTAGCAAAGATTAGTTCGAGTTAAACTTGGCCACTTAAGCTAATGAAACTGTTCGTTGCCTAAGCTAATTAGTTCCTAGAAAAAAAGAGAGCGGGGCGGAGAGAGTTAGAGAGAAACTTTCTTCCTGAGAATTAGAAGAGATAGTTGGGGAAAAGAGAGGAAAATAGAATGAAGCTTACAGGGAATTGAAATTCATCGATTTGCATATGAGAGTCGAACACTTAGGTGATTTAGATAACATGGATCGAGTTGCTTAAGTTAAACTATTAACGATAAGCTACGATTTTTCCGTAAATTACCTTTCTTGGAGGCTAAGCAAGATTAGTTTGAGTGAACCTTGGCCTCCTAAGCCAGTGAAACTGATAGCAGCCTCAGCTAATTAGTTTCTGCAATAAAAGAGCGAAGGTTCTAGAAGGACGGAGGGGGTTGGAGAAAATCTTTCTTCCCTGGTGGTGGAAGAGAAAGTTTGGGCAAAGAAAGGGAAATATGATGCGAATTGAAATTCAACTTTTTGGACTTGAGAATTGAACACTTAGGTGATTTAGAAAGCATTAAATGAGTTGCTTAGGTAAAGGTAATATCGTTAAGCTACCATTACTCCGTATGTTCTCTTTCCTGGAGGCTAAGAAAGATTTGTTGGAGGTAAACTTAGCCACCTAAGCCAATCATACTAATAGTTGCCTACGCTAATTGGTTTGTCGAAGAAAAGAGAGAAGGACGGAGAGAGTTAGGGAAAAAACAGGAAGTTAGAGAGACGATAGGGAATTAGGAAGAAAATTAAAGGAAATTCAAATTCATCCGTTTGGACTTGAGAACTGAAAACTTAGGTGATTTACAAAACATGAAATGTGTTGCTTAAGTTAAACTAATATCGTTAAGCTACACTTACCCCGTGAATTCCCAGTCTTGTAGGCTAATCAAGATTAGTTTGCGTGAAGCTTGGCCTCTTAAGATAATGACTAAGCTAATTTGTTCCCACAATAAAAGAGAGAACGTTCTAGAAGGACGGACGGAGAGAGTTAGAGAGAATCTTTCTTCCTGAGTGGTAAAGGAGAGAAAGTTAGAGAAAGGAAACGGAAATACGATGAAAAGTAAGGCGAATTCAGATTCATCCTTTTGGAGTTGGGAATTGAGCACTTAGGTGATTTTTTAGAAAACATTAAATGAGTTGCTTGGGTAAAAGTAATATCATCGTTAAGCTACAATTTCTCCGTATATTCTATTTCTTGGAGGCTAAGAAAGATTAGGTTGAGCTAAACTTGGCCACCTAAGCTAATGATACTAATAGTTGCCTAAGCTAATTAGTTCCTAGAGCAAAAGGGAGAAGGTCGGAGAAGGACGGAGAGAGTTAGTGGAAAACTTTCTTCTTGAGTGGTAGGAGAGAAAGTTAGAGAAAAGAAAGGGAATTAAAGGGAATTCCAGTTCATCCTCCTGGACTTGAGAACTGAACACTTAGGTGATTTAGAAAACTTTAAATGAGATGCGGACGGAGAGAGTTAGAGAGAATCTTCGCTCCTGAGTGGTAGAGGAGAAAGTTAGAGAAAAGAAATGGAAATGGGAAGAAAATTAAGGCCAATTCAAATTCATCTTTTTGGACTTGAGAATTGAGCACTTAGGTGATTTAGAAAACATTAAATGAGTTGCTTAAGCAAAAGAAATGTCGTTAAGCTACAATTGGACCGTATATTCACTTTCTTGGAGGCTAAGAGAGATTAGTTCGAGTTAAACTTGGCCGCTTAGGCTAATGAAACTAATAGTTGCCGAAGCTAGTTTGTTCCTAGAACAAAAGAGAGAGGGTCGGAGAAGGACGGAGAGGGTTAGAGGAAAACTTTCTTCTTGAGTGGTAGGAGAGAAAGGGAATTAGGATGCAAATTAAAGGGAATTCAGGTTCATCCTCTTGGACTTGAGAATTGAACACTTAGGTGATTTAGAAAACTTTAAATAAGATGCTTAATTAGACTAATACTGTTTGCACAATCACTAAGTAAAATCTCTTTTCAAGAGGCTTAGTAAGATTAGTTCGAGTTAAACTTGGCCACTTAAGCTAATGAAACTGTTCGTTGCCTAAGCTAATTAGTTCCTAGAAAAAAAGAGAGCGGGGCGGAGAGAGTTAGAGAGAAACTTTCTTCTTGAGAACTAGAAGAGATAGTTGGGGAAAAGGGAGGTAAATAGAATGAAACTTACAGGGAATTAAAATTCATCGATTTGGATATGAGAGTTGAACACTTAGGTGATTTAGATAACATGGAACGAGTTGCTTAAGTTAAACTATTAACGATAAGCTATGATTTTTCCGTAAATTACCTTTCTTAGAGGCTAAGCAAGATTAGTTTGAGTGAAACTTGGCCTCTTAAGCCAGTGAAACTGATAGCTACCTCAGCTAATTAGTTTCTGCAATAACAGAGAGAAGGTTCTAGAAGGACGGAGGGGGTTAGAGAAAATCTTTCTTCCTTGGTGGTGGAAGAGAGAGTTTGGGCAAAGAAAGGGAAATAATTGAAATTCAACTTTTTGGACTTGAGAATTGAACACTTAGGTGATTTAGAAAGCATTAAATGAGTTGCTTAGGTAAAGGTAATATCGTTAAGCAACCATTACTCCGTATGTTCTCTTTTTTGGAGGCTAAGAAAGATTAGTCGGAGGTAAACTTAGCCACCTAAGCCAATGATACTAATAGTTGCCTACGCTAATTGGTTTGTAGAAGAAAAGAGAGAAGGTTGGAGAAGGACGGAGAGAGTTAGGGAAAAAACAGGAAGTTAGAGAGACGATAGGGAATTAGGAAGAAAATTAAAGGAAATTCAAATTCATCCGTTTGGACTTGAGAACTGAACACTTAGGTGATTTAGAAAACATGAAATGTGTTGCTTAAGTTAAACTAATGTCGTTAAGCTACAGTTACCCCGTGAATTCCCAGTCTTGTATGCTAATCAAGATTAGTTTGCGTGAAGGTTGGCCTCTTAAGATAATGACAAAGCTAATTTTTTCCTGCAATAAAGAGAGAACGTTCTAGAAGGACGGATGGAGAGAGTTAGAGAGAATCTTTCTTCCTGAGTGGTAGAGGAGAAAGTTAGAGAAAGGAAATGGAAATACGATGAAAAGTAAGGCGAATTCAGATTCATCCTTTTGGACTTGGGAATTGAGCACTTAGGTGATTTAGAAAACATTAAATGAGTTGCTTAGGTAAAAGTAATATCGTTAAGCTACAATTACTCCATATATTCTCTTTCTTGGAGGCTAAGAAAGATTAGTTTGAGCTAAACTTGGCCACCTAAGCTAATGATACCAATAGTTGCCTAAGCTAATTAGTTCCTAGAGCAAAAGGGAGAAGGTTAGAGAAGGACGGAGAGAGCAAGAGCAAAAAGAGAAAGCTAGGGAAATGAAAGGGAATTGGGATGAAAATTAACGGGAATTCAAATTCGTCCGTTTGGGCTTGAGAACTGAACACTTAGGTGATTTAGAAAACATGAAATGAGTTGCTTAAGTTAAACTAATATCGTTAAGCTACAGTTACTCCATAAACTCTCTTTCTTAGAGGCTAATCAAGATTAGTTTGTGTGAAACTTGGCCTCTTAAGATAATGACTAAGTTAACTTGTTCCTACAATAAAAGAGAGAACGTTCTAGAAGGACGGAGAGAGTTAGAGAGAATCTTCGCTCCTGAGTGGTAGAGGAGAAAGTTAGAGAAAAGAAATGGAAATACGAAGAAAATTAAGGCCAATTCAAATTCATCTTTTTAGACTTGAGAATTGATGAAAGCCTATGACAATGTTAGATGGGAGTTTATCCTTGATATCCTCAAAGCTATGGAACTCTATGTATGATTAATTGGATCAAGGCGTGTATGACCAGTCCCTCTTTCTCTATTTGCATTAATGGTAGTCTTCATGGGTACTTCAATGGTGCCAGAGGGCTTAGACAGGGAGACCCTATGTCCCTTTACCTGTTTGTGCTAGCTATGGAAATTCTTTCTAGAATCCTTGCTGAAAAAGCCAAGAGTCCTATGTTTAAGTTCCATTGGAGGTGTGATAAGACCAAAATTGTGAACCTCTGTTTTGCTGATGATCTGATGATTTTTAGTAAAGGTGATCCTGGGACTGTGAACCTTATTATGCAAGGATTGGATGAATTCAAAAGGCTATCAGGCCTTACTCCTAGGCCTAACAAGAGTAATATTTTCTTCTCTGGTTGTAATAGGCAAGGAGATTCTTCATATTGCTAAGTTCAATGAGGGGACTCTCCCGGTTAAATATTTGGGTGTTCCTTTGATTACCACTAAGCCCAAGGCTTTTGATTGCCAAATTCTGATCGATAGGATAGCGAAGAGAATTAGGAGTTGGACAAATAAACTTCTATCCTATGCGGGTAGAGCTCAACTCATCCAAACTATCCTCTTTTCGATGCAAGTGTATTGGTCCTCTATGTTCATCCTTCCTAGGAAGGTTATTAGAGATATTGAGAGCCTGCTTAGAGCCTTTCTTTGGTCTGGGTCTGATTTGAAGAAGCACAGTGCTAAGATTGATTGGAGAGGGCTCTATGTGGTGCCAATGGGTCAAGTCCTACTTACTAAAAGGTAGGAGTTTCTGGTATGTTAAAGTCCCTAGTGACCCCTCTTGGGTCTGGAGGAAAATCTTGAAGCTTAGACATCTTCTCCTTCCCCTTATTAAGTTTAAAATTGGTAATGGGGAGCAAGCTTTTCTATGGTTTGATAACTGGCATTCCCTTGGATCCTTGTGGAGCCCCCAGAATTGCCTCTTAAGATAATGTCGTTAAGCTACAAAGAAAGAGAGAACGTTCTAGAAGGACGGAGAGAGTTAGAGAGAATCTCCGCTCTTGAGCGGTAGAGGAGAAAGTTAGAGAAAAGAAATGGAAATACAAAGAAAATTAAGGCCAATTCAAATTCAACTTTTTGGACTTGAGAATTGAGCACTTAGGTGATTTAGAAAACATTAAATGAGTTGCTTAAGCAAAAGAAATGTCGTTAAGCTACAATTGCACCGTATATTCTCTTTCTTGGAGGCTAAGAAAGATTAGTTCGAGTTAAACTTGGCCGCTTAGGCTAATGAAACTAATAGTTGCCTAAGCTAGTTTGTTCCTAGAACAAAAGAGAGAGGGTCGGAGAAGGACGAAGAGAGTTAGAGGAAAACTTTCTTCTTGAGTGGTAGGAGAGAGAGTTAGAGAAAAGAAAGGGTATTAGGTTGCAAATTAAAGGGAATTCAAGTTCATCCTCTTGGACTTGAGAATTGAACACCTATGAGATGCTTAAGTTAGACTAATACGGTTTTGCACAATCGCTAAGTAAAATCTCTTTTCTGGAGGCTTACCAAGATTAGTTCGAGTTAAACTTGGCCACTTAAGCTAATGAAACTGCTCGTTGCCTAAGCTAATTAGTTCCTAGAAAAAAAGAGAGCGGGGCGGAGAGAGTTAGAGAGAAACTTTCTTACTGAGAACTAGAAGAGATAGTTGGGGAAGAGGGAGGTAAATAGAATGAAACTTACAGGGAATTGAAATTCATCGATTTGGATATAAGAGTTAAGGAGAAGGTTAGAGAAGGACGGAGAGCAGCAAGAGGAAAAAGAGAAAGCTAGGGAAATGAAAGGGAATTGGGATGAAAATTAACGGGAATTCAAATTCGTCCGTTTGGGCATGAGAACTGAACACTTAGGCGATTTAGAAAACATGAAATGAGTTGCTTAAGTTAAACTAATATCGTTAAGCTACAGTTACGCCGTAAACTCTCTTTCTTGGAGGCTAATCAAGATTAGTTTGCGTGAAACTTGGCCTCTTAAGATAATGACTAAAAGCTAACTTGTTCCTACAATAAAAGAGGGAACGTTCTAGAAGGACGGAGAGAGTTAGAGAGAATCTTCTCTCCTGAGTGGTAGAGGAGAAAGTTAGAGAAAAGAAATGGAAATACGAAGAAAATTAAGGCCAATTCAAATTCATCTTTTTGGACTTGAGAATTGAGCACTTAGGTGATTTAGAAAACATTAAATGAGTTGCTATGCGAATTGAAATTCAACTTTTTGGACTTGAGAATTGAACACTTAGGTGATTTAGAAAGCATTAAATGAGTTGCTTAGGTAAAGGCAATATCGTTAAGCTACCATTACTCCGTCTATTCTCTTTCTTGGAGGCTAAGAAAGATCAGTTTGAGCTAAACTTGGCCGCTTAGGCTAATGAAACTAATAGTTGCCTAAGCTAATTAGTTCCTAGAGCAAAAGGGAGAAGGTCGGAGAAGGACGGAGAGAGTTAGTGGAAAACTTTCTTCTTGAGTGGTAGGAGAGAGAGTTAAAGGGAATTAGGATGCAAATTAAAGGGAATTCAAGTTCATCCTCTTGGACTTGAGAATTGAACACTTAGGTGATTTAGAAAACTTTAAATGAGATGCTTAAGTTAGACTAATACGGTTTTGCACAATCACTAAGTAAAATCTCTTTTCTGGAGGATTAGCAAGACTAGTTCGAGTTAAACTTGGCCACTTAAGCTAATGAAATGCATTAGGGTTTAAACAAACGGACCCGTATTCGGATCCTCTTGCATGATGGCAGACATGTAATTGTGGTGTTTACTTGCCATTTCTCATGCATAAGGGTTTAAACACACGGACACGGATTCGGATCCTCTTGCATGATAGCAGATATGTAATTGTGGCGTTTACTAGCCATTTCTCATATATTGGGGTTCGAACACTCAGTCACTTTTTCGGACCCTCTTGCATGATGGCAGATATGTAATTATGTTGTTTACTTGCCATTTCTCATGCATTAGGGTTTAAACACACGGACACGTATTCGGATCCCCTTGCATGATGGCAGATATGTAATTGTGGTGTTTACTTGCCATTTCTCATGCATTAGCGATCGAACGCTCGGACAATTATTCGGACCGTCTTGTATCATGGCAAATATGTAATTATCATGTTTACTTGCCCTTTCTCATGCATTAGGATTTAAATACACGAACACGTAATCAGATCTGCTTGCATGATGGCAGATATGTAATTATGGTGTTGACTGGACATTTCTCATGCATTAGGGTCCGAGCACTTGGACACTTATTCAAACCCTCTTGCATTATGGCAGCTATGTAATTATGGTGTTTACTTGCCATTTCTCATGCATTAGGGTTTAAACACTCGGACACTTTTTCAAACCCTCTTGCATGGTGACAGATATGCAATTATGGTGTTTACTTTCCATTTCTCATGCATTAGCGTTCGAACACTCGGCCACTTATTCGGATCGTCTCGTATGATGGCAGATATGTAATTATGGTGTTTATTAGCCATTTCACACGCATTAGGGTTTAAACAAACGGACACGCATTCGGATCCTCTTGCACGATGGCAGATATGTAATTATGGTGTTTACTAGCCATTTCTAATGCATTACGGTTTAAACACTTAGACACTTATTCAGATCCCCTTGCGCGATGATAGATATATAATTATGGTGTTTACTTGCTATTTCTCATGCATTAGCATTCGAACACAAGTACACTTATTTGGACCCTCTTGTAATTATGGTGTTTACTTGCCATTTCTCTTGCGTTAGGATTTAAACAAACGAACCCGTATTCAGATCTTCTTGCATGATGACAGATATGTAATTATGTGTTACTAGCCATTTCTCATACATTAGGGTTCGAACACTCTGACACTTATTCAGACCCTCTTACATGATGGCAGATATGTAATTATGGTGTTTACTTGCCATTTCTCATACATTAGGGTAAAAACACACGGACACGTATTCGGATTATTTTGCATGATGGCAGATATGTAATTATGATGTTTACTAGCCACTTCTCATACATTTGGGTTCGAACACTTCGACACTTATTCAGACCATCTTGCATGATGGCAGATATGTAATTATGGTGTTTACTTGACAATTCTCATGCATTAGGGTTTAAACACTCGGACACTTATTCGAACCCTCTTGCATGATGGCAGATATGTAATTATGGTGTTTACTTGCCATTTCTCATGCATTAGCGTTCGAACACTCGGACATTTATTTGGATTGTCTTGTATGATGACAGATATGTAATTATGGTGTGTACTTGCCATTTCTCATGCATTTGGGTTTAAACACTCGGACACGTATTTGGGCCCTCTTGCACGATTGCAGATATGTAATTATGGTGTTTACTTTCCATTTCTTAGGCATTAGGGTTCGAACACACGGACACTTATTTAGACCCTCCAGCTTGATGGCAGATATGTAATTATGGTGTTTAGTTGCCATTTCTCATGCATTAGGGTTTAAACACGCGGACACGTATTCAGATCATCTTGCGTGATGGCAGATATATAATTATGGTGTTTACCAGCCATTTCTCATACATTAGGGTTCGAAAACTCGGACACTTATTCAGACACTCTTGCTTGATGGCAGATATGTAATTATGTTGTTTACTTGCCATTTCTTATGCAATTGGGTTTAAACACTTGGACACTTATTCGGACCCTCATGCGTGATGGTAGATATGTAAGTATGGTGTTTACTTGCCGTTTCTCATGCATTAGCATTCGAACACTAGTACACTTATTCGGACCCTCTTGCACGATGGCAGATATGTAATTATGGTGTTTACTTGCTATTTCTCATGCATTAGGGTTTAAACACACGGACACATATTCGGATCCTCTTGCATGATGGCAGGTATGTAGTTATGGTGTTTATTTGCTATTTCTCATGCATTAGGGTTTAAACAAACGGACCCGTATTCGGATCGTCTTGCATGATGGCAGACATGTAATTATGGTGTTTATTTGCCATTTCTCTCATGCATAAGGGTTTTAAACACACGGACACGTATTCGGATCCTCTTGCATGATGGCAGATATGTAACCATGGCGTTTACTAGCCATTTCTCATACATTAGGGTTCGAACACTCAGTCACTTATTCGGACCCTCTTGCATGATGGCAGATATGTAATTATGTTGTTTACTTGCCATTTCTCATGCATTAGGGTTTTAAACACACGGACACGTATTCAGATCCGCTTGCATGATGGCAGATATGTAATTATGGTGTTTACTTGCCCTTTCTCATGCATTAGGATTTAAACACACGGACACGTAATTGGATCAGCTTGCATGATGGCAGATATGTAATTATGGTGTTGACTAGACATTTGTCATACATTGGGGTTCGAGCACTCGGACACTTATTCAAACCCTCTTGCATTATGGAAGCTATGTAATTATGGTGTTTACATGCCATTTCTCATGCATTAGGGTTTAAACACTCGGACACTTATTCAAACCCTCTTGCATTATTTAGCCACCATAAATTCATTTTTGCTAATGTTAATATATACTATATCTCTTTATCTGCAGGGTAAGGAAGCCCAAGTTGAGTGGTGTGAGCCCCTAAATTGTGGGTTGAGTGGAGTGAGATCCTATATTGAGGGCACTGTTTCTGTATTAAAGTCTAGTAGATTGTATCTTATTTGCTGGAGGTACTTACTCATGGCTGTTCTTACAGGGTCTACTATAATGTATGAGCAGGTCTTGGGTTGCATGGCTCGGCAGTGGTGTCCAGTTTTGGGGACTGCAGATTTGTTGCTCTGAATATTCCTGGCTCTTCGGTCTTTTGGGTTACTTCAGTGTTTAAGGTCTGCTAGAAAGGCTTGGAGAGGGAGATTCTTTTCTCTTCCTCTTTTGGTGACTGCTGGTTTGTTGGCTCTAAGTTGTCTGGCAGCTCGCATGATAGAGGGTACTGGTTTGTTGATGGCTGCTTGTAGCGCCTTTGTGGACACTTGTCTTTTAATTTATATTCATGTGTTGAATTTCTGTGTTTGGATATTAGACGGTTTTGATGTGGGTTTTGGCCTACCCCGCGCGGGATGTGCATGGTTTTTTTTTAGCTGTGTGTTTATTTCTGGTTGTGTCGTGTATGTGGACTATTTTTTGTTTCAACATAGGGTTATCGCTTGGATGTGTTCATGAACCTCATTCGCATGTACGGCTTATGCACATATCCTATTTTGGTTTATTTCTTTTCAATGTAATGTTTTTCATTATTTCCTTTATTCTTGGTAGCCGGTTTTGATCCTGTTTTGTTGGGGTGGTGCCTTCGGATTGGCCCTTCGTTTGTATAGTTTTCTGTTAGGTCCTGGGGTATGGCCCTTGTAGCTGTGTAGCTCTCTGTTTTTTATTTTATGTCTTATTCACCCAAAGAAAAACCCTCTTGCATGATGACAAATATGTAATTATGGTGTTTACTTTCCATTTCTCATGCATTAGCGTTCGAACACTCGGCCACTTATTCGGACCGTCTCGTATGATGGCAGATATGTAATTATGGTGTTTACTTGCATTTCACGTGCATTAGGGTTTAAACAAACGGACACGCATAGATGGCAGATATGTAATTATGGTGTTTACTAGCCATTTCTCATACATTAGGCTTCGAAAACTCGGACACTTTTTCGGACCCTCATGCGTGATGGCAGATATGTAATTATGGTGTTTACTTGCCATTTCTCATGCATTAAACACACGGACACGTATTCAGATCATCTTACATATTGGCAGATATGTAATTATGGTGTTTACTAGCCATTTCTCATACATTAGGGTTCGAACACTCTGTCACTTATTCGTACCCTCTTGCATGATGGCAGATATGTAATTATGGTGTTTACTTGCCATTTCTCATTCATTAAGGTTTGAACACACGTACACGTAATCGGATCCCCTTGCATGATTGCAGATATGTAATTATGGTGTTTACTTGCCATTTCTCATGCATTAGCGATCGAACACTCGGACACCTATTCGGACCGTCTTGTATCATGGAAGATATCTAATTATGGTGTTTACTTTTCATTTCTCATGCATTAGGGTTTAAACACACGGACACGTAATCGGATTATCTTGCATGATAGCAGATATGTAATTATGTTGTTTACTAGCCATTTCTCATACATTACGGTTCGAACACTCGGACACTTATTCAGACCCTCTTGCATTATGGCACATTGGTAATTATGGTGTTTACTTGCCATTTCACATGCATTAGGGTTTAAACACTCGGACTCATATTCGAACCCTCTTGCAGGATGGCAGATATATAATTATGGTGTTTACTTGCCATTTCTCATGCATTAGGGTTTAAACAACCGGACACGTATTCGGATCCTCTTGCACGATGGCAGATATGTAATTATGCTGTTTACTTGCCATTTCTCAAACATTAGGGTTCGAATACACGGACACTTAATCAGACCCTCTTGCATGATGGCAGATATGTAATTTTGTGTCTATTTGCCATTTCTAATGCATTAGGGTTTAAACACTTGGACACTTGTTCGGATCCTCTTGCACGATGGTAGATATGTAATTATGGTGTTTACCTGCTATTTCTCATGCATTACCGTTCGAACACTAGTACACATATTCGGATCCTCTTGTACGACGGCAGATATGTAATTATGGTGTTTACCTGCCATTTCTCATGCATTAGGGTTTAAACAAACGGACCCGTATTCTGATACTCTTGCATGATGGCAGATATGTAATTATGGTGTTACTAGCCATTTCTCATACATTAGGGTTCGAACACTCGGACACTTGTTCAGACCCTCTTACATGATGGCAGATATGTAATTATGGTGTTTACTTGTCATTTCTCACGCATTAGGGTTTAAACACTCGGACACTTATTCGGACCCTCTTACATGATGGCAGATATGTAATTATGGTGTTTACTTTCCATTTCTCATACATTAGGGTAAAAACACACGGACAGGTATTCGGATCATCTTGCATGATGGTAGATATGTAATTATGGTGCTTACTAGTCACTTCTCGTACATTTGGATTCGAACACTCGGACACTTATTCAGACCGTCTTGCATGATGTCAGATATGTAATTATGGTGTTTACTTGACATTTCTCATGCATTAGGGTTTAAACACTCGGACACTTATTCGAACCCTCTTGCATGATGGCGATATGTAATTATGGTGTTTACTTCCGATTTCTAATGCATTAGCGTTCGAACACTCGGACATTTATTCGGACCGTCTTGTATGATGACAGATATGTAATTATGGTGTTTACTTGCCATTTCTCATGCATTAGGGTTTAAACACTCGGACACGTATTTGGACCCCCTTGCATGATGGCAAATATGCAATTATGGTGTTTACTTTCCATTTCTCAAGCATTAGGGTTCGAACACACGAACACACGAACACACGGACACTTATTCCATTTCTCAAGCATTAGGGTTTAAACACGCGACACTTATTCGGATCATCTCGCATGAAGGCCGATATGTAATTATGGTGTTTACTAGCCATTTCTTATACATTGCTGTTCGAACACTCGGACACTTAATCAGACCCTCTTGCATGATGGCAGATATGTAATTATGGTGTTTACTTGCCATTTCTAATGCATTAGGGTTTAAACACCCGGATACTTATTCGGATCCTCTTGCACGATGGTAGATATGTAATTATGGTGTTTACTTGCCATTTCTCATGCATTAGGGTTTGAACACACAGACACGTATTCAGATCCTCTTGCATGATGGCAGATATGTAATTAAGGTGTTTACTTGCCATTTCTCACGCATTGGGGTTGAAACACTCGGACACTTATTCGAACCCTCTTACGTGATGGCAGATATGTAATTATGGTGTTTACTTGTCATTTCTCACGCATTAGGGTTTAAACACGCGGACACTTATTCGGACCCTCTGACGTGATGGCAGATTTGTAATTATGGTGTTTATATGCCATTTCTCATACATTAGGGTTAAAACATGCGGATACGTATTCGGATCGTCATGCATGATGGCAGATATGTCATTATGGTGTTTATTAGCCATTTCTCATACATTAGGGTTCGAACACTCGGACACATATTCAGACCCTCTTGCATGATGGCAGATATGTAATTATGGTGTTTAGTTGCCATTTCTGATGCATTATGGTTGAAACACTCAGACACTTAATCAGACCCTCTTGCATGATGGCAGATATGTAATTATGATGTTTATTTGCCATTTCTCATGCATTAGGGTTTAAACACTAGGACACTTTTTCGGATCCTCTTGTATGATGGCAGATATGTAATTATGGTGTTTACTAGCCATTTCTAATACCTTGGGGTTTAAAAACTCGGACAGTTATTCGGACCATCTTGAATGATGGTTGATATGTAATTATGGTGTTTACTTGCAATTTCTCTTGCATTAGCGTTCGAACACTAGTACACTTATTCGGATCCTCTTGTACGATGGAAGATATGTAATTATGATGTTTACTAGCCATTTCTCATACATTAGGGTTCGAACACTCGGGCACTCAATCAGACCCTCTTGCATGATGGCAAATATTTAATTATGGTGTTTACTTGCCATTTCTAATGCATTAGGGTGTAAAAACTTGGACACTTATTCGGACCCACTTGCATGATGGTAGATATTTAATTATGGTGTTTACTTGCCATTTCTCATGCATTAGCGTTCGAACACTAGTACACTTATTCGGACCGTCTTGCACGATGGTAGATATGTAATTATGCCGTTTACTTGCCATTTCTCATGCACTAGGATTTAAACACACAGACACGTATTCGGATCCTGTTGCATGATGGCAGATATGTAATTATGGTGTTTACTGGCCATTTCTCATACATTTGGGTTCGAACACTCGGTCACTTATTCGGACCCTCTTGCATGATGGCAGAAATGTAATTATGGTGTTTACTTGCCATTTCTCATGCATTAGGGTTTAAACACAGGGACACGTATTCGGATCCTCTTGCATGATGGCAGATATGTAATTATGGTGTTTACTTGCCATTTCTCATGCATTAGCGGTCGAACACTCGGACACTTATTCAGACCATCTTGTATAATTGCAGATATGTAATTATGGTGTGTACTTGCCATTTCTCATGCATTAGGGTTTAATCGAACGAACCCGTATTTGGATCCTCTGGCATGATGGTAGATTGGTAATTATGGTGTTTACAAGCCATTTCTCATACATTAGGGTTCGAACAGTCGGACACTTATTCAGACCCTCTTGCATGATCGCAGATATGTAATTGTGGGGTTTACTGGCCATTTCTCACGCATTAGGGTTTAAACGCTAGGACACATATTCGGACCCTCTTGCATGATGGCGGATATGTAATTATGGTGTTTAATTGCCATTTCTCATGCATTAGCGGTCGAACACTCGGACACTTATTCAGACCATCTTGTATTATTGCAGATATGTAATTACGGTGTGTACTTGCCATTTCTCATGCATTAGGGTTTAATCGAACGGACCCATATTTGGATCCTCTTGCATGATGGTAGATTTGTAATTATGGTGTTTACAAGACATTTCTCATACATTAGGGTTCGAACAGTCGGATACTTATTCAGACCCTCTTGCATGATCGCAGATATGTAATTGTGGTGTTTACTGGCCGTTTCTCATGCATTAGGGTTTAAACACTTGGACACATATTCGGACGCTCTTGCATGATGGCAGGTATGTAATTATGGTGTTTAATTGCCATTTCTCATGCATTAGCCTTCGAACACTAGTACACTTGTTCGGACCCTCTTGCACGATGGTAGATATGTAATTATTGTGTTTTTTTTTGGGTGAATAAGAGATAAAATAAAACAAGAAAATTTACACAACTACACGGGGCATACCCCAGGACCTAACATAGCTATACAGGAAAACAAACCAAAAGCCCAACAACCTGTTCATCCTTCCTATAATCTAGCAATAGGAAGAGTGAACAAGAAATATAAACATTTATAGCAGCCTAAAAGAGAAAACAAAATGAAGCATTGATCCAGGAGGCTACGGCCTTGACAAAGGACCTCCAGCAACTGTAGCACCAAGCAAGATGGATGACCCTGGACACTGTATCCGCAGGGGCACGAGCTCGGACCCTCTTGCACGATGGTAGATATGTAATTATTGTGTTTTTTTTTTGGGTGAATAAGAGATAAAATAAAACAAGAAAATTTACACAACTACAAGGGGCATACCACCTAACACAGCTATACAGGAAAACAAACCAAAAGCCCAACAACCTGTTCATCCTTCCTATAATCTAGCAATAGGAAGAGTGAACAAGAAATATAAACATTTATAGCAGCCTAAAAGACAAAACAAAATGAAGCATTGATCCAGGAGGCTACGGCCTTGACAAAGGACCTCCAGCAACTGTAGCACCAAGCAAGATGGATGACCCTGGACACTGTATCCGCAGGGGCACGAGCCAAAACAAAACAAAATTCCCTACACAGCCCGTAGGGATAGGAATTAGAATCCAAAACAAAAACTAACCTGTTAAGATATGTGCAACCCGAAACATGGTTGCTAGGAAAACTATTAAGAACACAAAGAAGCACAAAGGTACTCCTACACAGCCCGTAGGTATAAGCTAAATACGCCATAAAATTGTGCAAATAATACAAAGAAAAACAACTGATTTTCTCCCTCATGTAGCATAGCAAGGCGCTAGCAGCAGCCATCACCGTGGTACAAACACACCCTACAAACTGCCACCTGAATCTGTGCAAAATGTATTCTTCACCCCTCCACGCCATAAAGCAAAGATACCAGCAGCAACCTCCTGTAACTGCACTGTAAGCAGCACCACACCTCCTCACCAACAAATGAGTCTGTTGAAAATCATAAAGGAGAAGAAATAACAAACACACAGTATAGGAGCTCTCCTCACTCGACCCACAACACAGCATGTCTCTCCACTCCATATATGATCTCACATCACTAGGCCCACACCTCACATGATACCTCGAAAGAATCAGAAAGACATTATACTTGAAAGCTCCAAGAACCTGCACCAACCATATATAAGATATAATAAAAATTAGCGCAAAACATGTGTGCTGTCTCTCATCACTCAACCCACAATGTATAGAAATATTTTGGTAGCTCACAACACTCAACCCTCCATTCGGACACATCAATCTGGGAGATGATTTAGGATTCATGATAACCTGCAAAAGAGCACCCAGTTAGTAAACCCCACAATAGTTGCTCACCATCACTCAACCCTCAATGTAGGTAACCTCACAACACTCATTCTCCTGCCATCTGCAATAGTATGGTTTGGTGGCTAACCAAGCAATAAAACTAACCCTAGGGATTGAAGGGGGACCCCAGATAAGTTTGGACCAAGTAACCTTAGGGCCCTTATCCCTCCAACAATCCCAAGCTGACTGGATAGAAAAGTTACCATCAGCAGCCAAACTCCATACCGGAGTATCAGAAGAGCCAAAGGAAGGTAGGAGAGATAAAGGGGTAGAAGAGATCCACTCCTTTATCTCCCAAGAATTAGAAACTTCCAAGAACTATTAGAGACTATAGAGCTAACCTTGGTGCTATCAGGAAGATTAGTGTCATAAAGAATTCTAGGACCAAACCTGTGCCACAGCGAACCAAGCGGGTGCCAATTGTCATGCCAAAGGAACACATTTTCCCCATTACCAATTTTGAATTTGATGTGAGGATAGATTAAATGCCTGAGAGACAGGATTTTCCTCCAGACCCATGAGGGATCACTAGGAGTTCTAACAGCCCAAAAGCTCCTCCCTTTAAGCAAGTAAGCCTTGACCCATTGGCACCACATGGAACAATCACCCCCAGTAAACAAGTACCAAACATGTTTGGCTATAGCAGCCTTGTTCCAGGTAGCTAAGTCGTTGAAACCAAGGCCACCCTCATTTTTTTTCCTGCAAATATATCTCCAAGCAATCTTAGCACTATGTTTCTTCAACTCAACCCCAGACCAAGGTATTTCACCGGGAGGGAGCCCTCAGTAAAATTGGCAATCTGAAGAATATCCTCTTTAAGCGCACTACTACACCCCGAGAAAAAAATATTACTCTTACTAGAATTAGGGGTAAGACCAGACAGGTCCCTAAATTCCTCCAATCCCTGCATGATAAGAGTAACAGTACCAGGGTCCCCTTTACTTAATCATCAAATCATTAGCAAAACAAAGGTTGACAATTTTAGTTTTCTCACACCTCCAGTGGAATTTGAACAAAGGGCTCCTAGATTTCTCAGCAAGAATTCTGGCAAGAATTTCCATGGCCAACACAAAGAGATACGGGGACATAGGATCCCCTTGCAACTCAACCCCAGACCAAAGAAAAGATCTAAGGATGCTTTCAATGTCACCAATGATTTTCTTAGGGAGGATAAAAAGAGAGGACCAATACACTTGCATTGAAAACAGGATAGACTAGATGAGTTGGGCTCTACCAGCATAAGAAAGCAGTTTATTGGTCCAACTTTTAATCCTCTTAGTAATTCTCTCAACCAGAGTATGACAATCAGACACTTTAAGCTTGGTAGTGATAAGAGGCACACCAAAGGTATTTCACCGGGAGGGAGCCCTCAGTAAAATTGGCAATCTGAAGAATATCCTCTTTAAGCGCACTACTACACCCCGAGAAAAAAATATTACTCTTACTAGAATTAGGGGTAAGAACAGACAGGTCCCTAAATTCCTCCAATCCCTGCATGATAAGAGTAACAGTACCAGGGTCCCCTTTACTGAAAATCATCAAATCATCAGCAAAACAAAGGTTGACAATTTTAGTTTTCTCACACCTCCAGTGGAATTTGAACAAAGGGCTCCTAGATTTCTCAGCTAAAATTCTGCCGAGAATTTCCATAGCCAACACAAAGAGATACGGGGACATAGGGTCCCCTTGTCTTAATCCCCTCGCCCCTTTAAAGTACCCCTGAAGGCTCCCATTAATACAAATCGAGAAAGAAGGACTCGTGATGCAAGCCTTTATCCAGGTAATCATACAAGGAGGGAAAGCCATAGCTTTGAGGATATCAATGATAAAGTCCTATCTCACAGTATCATAGGCTTTCATAATATCAACTTTCATGGCGCACTTAGGAGAGTGGGAACTCCTATGGTAACCTCTCGTAATTATTGTGTTTACTTGCCATTTCTCATGCATTAGGGTTTAAACACACGGACACGTATTCGGATCCTCTTGCATGATGGCAGATATGTAATTATGGTGTTCATTTGCCATTTCTCAGGCACTAGGGTTTGAATACTCGGACACCTAGTCGGACCCTCTGGCATGATGGCAGATATGTAATTATGGTGTTTACTTGCCGTCTCTCATGCATTAGGGTTTATACCCTCGGACACTTATTTGCACACTCTTGCGTGATGGCAGATATGCAATTATGGTGTTTACTTGCTATTTCTCATGCATTAGGAGTTAAACACACAGACACGTATTTGGATCATCTTGAATGATGACAGATATGTAATTATGGTGCTTAGTAGCCATTTCTCATACATTAGGGTTCGAACACTCGGACACTTAATCCGACCCTCTTGCATGATGGCAGAGTGAGAAGCTCCCGCATCTCTCTAGAAACATCTGTTTCTAGGGTTTCAATATCTTATTGAATACGATGATTGGAGTTAATGCTGTTCCCATTGATGGTTCACCTTCTGCAAGTGTTGACAAAATCTGCAAGGCAGACTTCGGCGTAATAAGTATGAGTGATAAACTAGGGTTTCTTAAAAACAAATTCGAAATCCTCGGTGGTGAGGCGATGGCTTCATCGGAGATCAATCCTCAGGTATCTGTTCTTGGACAGGAAGGTAGTGATTCAGTCCAATCTCAATCTGATCGTAGGGTTAACCCCCTAGATCTGGCAAATCAGCATAACGAGGGAAGGGTTATTTCGAACGATCCTCAGAAATCGAAGATGGTAGAAGCTTCCATAGATGGTCCTCATCTGGTGGATCAACTGGTAAATCGCAAAGGAGAGCGTGACTTCGAAACCCCCCATCTGACTTTTGATCCCCGGACTATTGTAGATCGGGTTGAAAGGCTTAAATCGTCAAACCCTAACCTGGCCATCGGAGCCCCTTCGACTCCAGGTACTCCTCGTTGGTCAGATCGTAGTGAGAATAAGCCTTCTGTGTTCCATAGGCTTCCCGAGAGCCTGGACATAGCAAGGAATAGAGGTGATGGGAAGTCTCGTGAGGTTACGGAGGGTGATTCAAGGCAGCCGTCTAACAATGTGAGGAAAAATCTACAAGCCTTTCTGGGTCAGGAAGAACACAAGGAGGATATCTCATTCGGTGATAATCTAGATCGTGGAGGGGCTAATACTCGAGGAGGTAGAGGAAACAGAGGACGTGGTGGAGGTAGGGGATCTGGAAATCACTCGGGGAAATCGTGGGCTGAAATCACAAATTCGTCCACAAGATCGCAAGTCTCTCTCAGGTACTTCCCTCCTACTGTTAAAGACGACTTTATCAGTGTTGATTTGCCCCCTAGACCTAATCCCCTTCGAAAGTGGGATTCCTGTTTGGTGGGTTATTTCTTTGGGAAAGGGGTTAACTTCAACTACATGAAGAATAATGCATTTAGCATGTGGAAGAATAAGGGTCTTAAAGAAGTTTTAGCTAATGGTGGAGGCTTCATTTTCTTCATTTTTGATAACCCTGAGTGTTGCTTTGAAGTCCTAGAGGGAGGTCATTGGTACATTGGGGGCTTCAATATTATTCTAAAAAAATGGAAACGTATGATGAAATTATCGAAGGAGAAGGTGACTAAAGTACCAGTCTGGGTTAGGTTCTATAATATTCCTTTAGAATATTGGGATGATGATGGCCTTGGTAGGATTGCTAGTGCTGTTGGTAACCCGTTGTTCACGGATCAGCTCACTACTAGTGGGGGTAGGATTGCTTTTGCCAGAGTTTGTGTAGAAGTTGATGCTTCTTCCAAACAACCACCTTCTTTTCCCTATAAATTGTGATGGTGAAACAATTGTTGTGAATGTTGAATACCAAGGTCTTCCTGCTAAATGTGAACATTGTGTAGCTTTTGGCCATGACACAACTAGATGTGTTACTACTCAAGTGGCTAAACTGGTGTCTCTCCAGAAAGAAACAGAAGAGAATCCTACTGAGCCTGGCTGGACCACTATTATAGCTAAAGGGAAGATGCAAGTTGGAGTTATTGCTGGAGATGAGGCAATTCCTGTTCCTTAGGGAACTCATGGAACAAATGAAGAGGAAGGTCTGACTTCTAATTTGCAAGGGGAGGTTTCACTACCTGACCAAATTGAAGCTACTGATGAGGAATTACTGTTGAATAGGGAAGTGCCTTTTACAGATCAAGCAAAAAATTCTGACTCAGTAGCAGAGGACAACAGGCCTGCTGCTTCTCAGATTCTTGCTGGTTCTTCTGCTGACACCGGGGAAGATGTTCCCTACATTGAGGGCCTGCAAGAGATGAAGACCAGCTTGGCAGATATTATAAGCCTTATCATCCCTCAAGACCCAACATTGCTGGAGGAAGTACAGAAGTTCAAGGATTCAACTCCTGGTAGTCCTAATGCTATTCCTGTGCCAAATCAACCAACTCCAGCAAAAGGTAAATCCTCTGGCAAGAGCAGCAATAGCCAGAGGAAAAAGAAGAGGTAATTCTCAGTTTCTTAGTTGTGGGTTTTGTTTTGTCTTTTGTTTTCTATGACTTTTAAAATAACTGCTTGGAATATTAGAGGGTTGAATGATCCTTCTAAACATAGAGAGTTAAAAAATTTTGTGGTTAAAGAAGATATTAAAGTCATGGGTATTTTGGAGACCAAAATAAGAGCTGTAAATGAAAGGAAAATTTTCTCTTCCTGTTTAAAGAACTGGTCCTTTTTGTCAAACTCACAACCTAATCAAACTGGTAGAATTTGTGTTTCTTGGGACTCCAATTTTTGTATGGTTGACCAGCTATCTGCCTCTGATCAACATATTTTTTGTAAGATTACTGATCTTACTCAGGCCTCTACTTTCCTTGCCTGTTTTGTGTATGCTGACAATAACTACCCTTTAAGAAGGGTCTTTTGTGAAACCATGGTTAGATTATCCCACTCTCAGTCCAAATGTCCCATTGCCTTCTTAGGGGATTTTAATGCTACTAGATACAGTCATGAGAAATTTGGAGGCTCTCAGATTTGGAATTCTTAGAAGGAGGAATTTAATTCTTATATTCTTGCCTCTGAGCTTGACGATTTGTCATATTCTGGCTGCCAATTTACTTGGGCTAACAAGAGGGATTGTCGGGAGTACATTGCTACTAAAATTGATAGAGTTTTGGTTAATGAGTCTTGGCTGGATAAATTTTCCAACTCTACTGCTATTTTTCTGCCTTCTACTATTTTTGACCACTCTTCTGCTGTTGTGACTGTTTCTGATGTTGTCACCTCTTATAAGAAACCTTTTAAGTTCTTTAATTTCTGGTCCAAACATAAGGACTTTCTTTCCCTGGTTTCTAATGAGTGGAGTTAGTACATTCAGGGTGTTCCCATGTTTAGGGTCTGTCAAAAGCTTAGAAATTTGAAACCTGGGTTGAGAGACCTAAACAAGAAAGATTTTAGTGACATATCTACCAGAGTCCTTGTTGCTAAGTCAGACCTTGAATCTGTTCAATGTAAATTGGACAAGGATCTGAGCAATCTGATTTTGCAGAATCTTGAGAGAACTAACCACAGGCATTATGTGGATTTATGTGCTGTGGAGGAGAGTCTTGCTCATCAAAAATCCAAGGTTGATTGGTTTGGGTCTGGGGGATAGGATACCAAATTCTTTTTTAGATCTGTTAAGAGCAATATTAACAGAAGCAAAATCCTAATCCAAGGTTGATTGGTTGGGTCTGGGGGATAGGAATACCAAATTCTTTTTTAGATCTGTTAAGTGCAATATTAACAGAAGCAAAATCCTTAGCATTGAATTGGATGATTACCGTAAATCATCTAAGTCTGAAGACATTCATCAATCCTTCATTAGTTTTTTCACAAATGTTTTTGGTACCCCGCTCAAGGACCAGTACAATGGTTTTGAAAGGATTAATTCTCTGGTCCAGTCTAGAGTCTCTATGGAACAATCTATAAATCTTGGTAGTCCTGTCTCTGATAAAGAGATTAAGGATGTTGTTTGGTCTCTTAAGGCTAATAAAGCCCCTGGCCCGGATGGATTTACGGGTAGTTTTTTTAAGGCCTCGTGGGACATTGTTGGGAAGTAGGTTACTTAAGCAATTAGAACCTTTTTCCAGTCTGGTAAACTTCTCTCTGAGGTTAACAGCATTATTATTGCTCTCATCCCTAAGGTTCCTAGTCCTTTGAGAGTGGGTGACTTTAGGCCTATTTCTTGTTGCAACACAATCTATAAGTGCATAGCCAAGATTATTGCTAACAGAATTAAGGCTGTCCTCCCTGATTTGATTGACCCTGTTCAATCTGCTTTTGTGCAAGGTAGGAGGATCTCTGATAATATTTTTTTGTCCCAAGAGCTCATGAGAGGTTATCATCGTCAGTCCGTTACTCCTAAATGTGCTATGAAAGTTGACATTATGAAAGCCTACGATACTGTTAGACGGGAGTTTGTTATTGATGTCCTGAAGGCTATGGCCTTTCCACTCTCTATGATTTCCTGGATTAAGGCTTGTATCACTAGTCCGTCGTTTTCCATTTGTATCAATGGTAGCCTACATGGCTATTTCAAGGGCGCTAGAGGCCTTAGGCAGGGAGACCCAATGTCTCCTTACCTGTTTGTCTTGGCTATGGAAATCCTGGCTAGAATCCTTGCTGAGAAATCCAAGCATCATCTTTTTAAATTCCATTGGAAATGTGAGAAGACTAAGATTGTTAATTTGTGCTTTGCTGATGATCTTATGATATTCAGCAAAGGGGATGCGTCTACTGTGCAATTGATTATGCATGGGCTTGAGGAGTTCAAGAGTCTTTCGGGGCTTACTCCTAGTGCTGGCAAGAGTAATATCTTTTTCTGCGGCTGTGGTCCTAGTCTTAGGGAGGAAATTCTTAAGATTGTAAAGTTCAATGAAGGTACCCTCTCTGTCAAGTACTTGGGTGTTCCCTTAATCACCACTAAGTTGAGAGCCCTTGATTGCCAGCAGCTTATTGACAGAATCACTAGCCGTATTAAGAGTTGGACCAATAAGGCCCTTTCTTATGCTGGTAGAGCTCAGTTTATCCAAACCATTCTGTTCTCCATGCAAGTCTATTGGTCCTCATTGTTCATCCTCCCTAAGAAGGTTGTTAGAGAAATTGAAAATTTACTTAGAGCCTTTCTCTGGTCCGGGGTTGATCTGAAAAACCATAGTGCGAAAATTGCTTGGGACAAGGTTTGCGCTCCCAAGTATGAAGGTGGTCTGGGTTTTAAATCTCTCGAGGTTTGGAATAGAGCTGCTATTGCCAAACATATGGTTCCTTTTCTCGGGGGTGAGAAGTCGATGTGGTGCCAATGGGTTAAATCTTACTTACTCAAAGGCAAAAGTTTTTGGACCGGGGTTGATCTGAAAAACCATAGTGTGAAAATTGCTTGGGACAAGGTTTGCACTCCCAAGTATGAAGGTGGTCTGGGTTTTAAATCTCTGGAGGTTTGGAATAGAGCTGCTATTGCCAAACATATTTGGTTCCTTTTCTCGGGGGGTGAGAAGTCGATGTGGTGCCAATGGGTTAAATCTTACTTACTCAAAGGCAAAAGTTTTTGGAAAGTCTCTGTTCCTAGTGACCCTTCTTGGGTCTGAAGGAAGATTCTTTCTCTTAGAAAGTCTATATTTCCTCTCATCTTACACAAAATTGGGAATGGTAATGCCACTTTCTTGTTGCATGATAATTGGCATCCGGTGGGCTCTATCTGGGACAAATTTGGGAATAGGATTATCTATGATTCTGGGCTCTCTGGGGAGGCTAAAGTGAGCAATATTGTTAATGGGGATTCCTGGAACTGGCCTTTTCCCAACTCTTGGGAGATTAGAGACCTTATATCTTTGACCCCCCCCCCCATCTTTTAAACCCAGATCTTCGAGTAATGATATTCCTATTTGGACTCTTACTCAAGATGGTAAATTCTCCATCCAATCTACTTGGAACCACTGGAGAGATAAATATGATAAGGTGGCTTGGTATAAACTGCTGTGGGGTCCATTCACTATCCGTAGAGTTAGTTTCATTGTCTAGATTGCCTTACATGGAAGGCTTAACACTGGGGACAGGTTAGAATCTTTTGGTCTGAGGGATGACTTCAAATGCTCCTTTTGCAATCACCACACTGAAAGCCACTCCCACCTTTTCTTTAATTGCATTTTCTCTCTTAAGGTTTGGGATGCTATTAAAGTTAAGTGTAATGTAAAGTGGCCTGACATTTTTTGGCCTGATATTGTACATGTTGCTATTAGGGAGAGTATGGGTAAATCTCTGAGAGCCATTACTACTAGACTGGCTCTGCTGTGTACAGTTTATCAAGTATGGATTGAAAGAAATAACAGAATTTTTAATATGGAAATGAAACCTGAAGAAGTTGTTATCAAGTCAATTGTTCAAATGATTAGAGGCAGGCTAATGTCATTAAACAATTTACCTAGATCTGCAAGTGATGAATGGTTCTTAAAGCAATGGAATTTGACTGATTCCATTCTAAAGCCCCGTACTGTTCGTATTGGGAGGGCTGCTGAGTGATGGGAGTTTCTCACATGAGAGTTGAGTGTTGGTGAGCTATATAATGTGGGTTTTCTAATTGTTTGTGTCCTGTGTAGCTGGTGGTGTCTGTTTCCTCGGAAAGTGGGTTGAGTGAAGTGAGACATAAAACTTTTAACTTTGTTTAGTCATTTCGGCAGCATCTATGGAATGTTTGAGGGTAGAGTGAAAATAGCCTACATATGTTTTATATGCTAACCGTTATATATATATTATCTCTTTATTTGCAGGATAAGGAAGCAATTTTCGAGTGTAGTGAGGTCCTATACTGTGGGCCGAGTGATGAGAGTTTAAATAATGTGTGTATTATCCTTCTTATTGGATTTTATTGGGCTTTTGTGATTTGGGTTGTTGTTTCTTGTAACTGGCAGGAAATTCTACTATGTTTAGAGAATGTCTGCCATCTTCACCAAACCTTGGACTGCCTTGCTGTGGTGTTGGTGCTGCTGGTGATCCCCTTGCTGTCCGCTGCTTTAGTGTTTGCTGCTGCTTACCTGATAGCTACTACTACCTGCTGGGTTGATAATATGGAATTTGGTCTGCTGCATTTGAGTTACAAGTGGCTGTCAAGTGCCGATGGCTGCTGGATGCGCCTCGTTGTTTACAAGTTGTCTTCCTTTATATTACTGTCTTCCTTTATGTTGTTTTTAATTTACATTGCACAATATTTTGTTAAGCCTACCCTAGTGGGATGTACTAGGTCTTTTGTAGATATGTCTCGGCCTCATGCCGTTACATTAGTTTCTGGATTGCACGTGAACTATTGCTGCGCTGGTTTTGCTATTTCGTCTCTGGTTGTGTGCATTCGGCTTAGGTGCTACTGGTTTGTGGTTCTGTGGGTTTGTCATGTGTATAGTTTCACCTTTTTGGTTTCGCAATGTTCATTTTCCCTATTTTCTTAGATATGGATCCTGAACATTGTTTAAGTTTGCTTATGGTGTCTGTTTTGCTGTATAGCTGATTTAGGGCCTTGGGTATTCTTGTATATTCTTTGTCTTTTATTTATGTCTTATTCACCCAAAAAAAAAAATTGATGGCAGATATGTAATTATGGTGTTTACTTGCCATTTCTCATGCATTAGGGTTCAAACACTCGGACACTCTTGCATGATGGCAGATATGTAATTATGGTGTTTAATTGCCATTTCTCAACCGTTGGCGTTCGAACACTCAGACACCTATTCGGACCGTCTTGCATGATGGCAGATATGTAATTATGGTGTTTACTTGCCATTTCTCATGCATTAGGGTTTAAATACACGGACACTTATTTGGTACCTCTTCCATTGTGACAGATATGTAATTATGGTGTTTATTTTCCATTTCTCATGCATTAGGGTTTAAATACACGGACACTTATTTGGTACCTCTTCCATTGTGACAGATATGTAATTATGGTGTTTATTTTCCATTTCTCATGCATTAGGGTTTAAATACACGGACACTTATTTGGTACCTCTTCCATTGTGACAGATATGTAATTATGGTGTTTATTTTCCATTTCTCATGCATTAGGGTTTAAATACACGGACACTTATTTGGTACCTCTTCCATTGTGACAGATATGTAATTATGGTGTTTATTTTCCATTTCTCATGCATTAGGGTTTAAATACACGGACACTTATTTGGTACCTCTTCCATTGTGACAGATATGTAATTATGGTGTTTATTTTCCATTTCTCATGCATTAGGGTTTAAATACACGGACACTTATTTGGTACCTCTTCCATTGTGACAGATATGTAATTATGGTGTTTATTTTCCATTTCTCACGCATTAGGGTTTAAACAGTCAGACACTTATTCGGACCCTCTTGCATGATTGCTGATATTTAATTATCGACTTTACTTGCCATTTCTCAAGCATTAGTTTTTGAACAGTCGGACACTTATTCGGACCCTCTCGCATAATGGCAGATATGTAATTATGGTGTTTATTTGCCATTTCACATGCATTAGGGTTTAAACATTCGGACACGTATTTGGACCCTCTTACATGATGGCAGATACGTAATTATGTTGTTTCCATGCCATTTCTCATGCATTAGGGTTTAAACACTCGGAAACTTTTTCAGACCCTCTTACATGATGGCAGATACTTAATTATGGTTTTTACTTGCCATTTCTCGAGCATTAGGATTCGAACACTTGGACAGTTATTCGGATCCTCTTGCGTGACAGCAGATATGTAAATATGACGTTTATTTGCCATTTCTCGTGCATTAGGGTTTAAACAGTTAGACACTTATCCAGACCCTCTTGCGTGATGGCAGATATGTAATTATGGTGTTTGCTTGCCCTTTCTCATGCATTGGGGTTTAAACACTCGACACTTATTTAGACCCGCTTGAATGATGGCAGATATGTAATTATGGTGTTTATTTGCCATTTCTCGTGCATTAGGGTTTAAACACTGGACACTTATTCGGACCCTCTTGCATGTTGGCAAATATGTAATTATAGTGTTTATTTGCCATTTCTCATGCATTCGGGTTTAAACACTCGGACACTTATTCAGACCCTTTTTCATGATGGCACATATGTAATTATGGTGTTTATTTTCCGTTTCTCATGCATTAGGGTTTAAACACTCAGATACTTATTCGGACCCTTTTGCAAAATGGCAGACATGTAATTATGGTGTTTACTTGTCATTTCTCATGCATTACGGAATAAATACTCAGACACTTATTCGGACCCTCTTGCATGATGGCAGATATGTAGTTATGGTGTTTACTTTCCATTTCTCATTCATTAGGGTTCGAACACACGGACAATTATTCAGACCCTCTAGCTTGATGGTAGATATGTAATTATGGTGTTTACTTTCCATTTCTCATGCATTTGGGTTGAAACACTTGGACACTTAATCTGACCCTCTTGCATGATGGCTGATATGTAATTATGATGTTTACTTGCCAATTCTCATGCATTATGGTTTAAACACTTGGACACTTATTCGGACCCCCTTGCATGATGGCAGATATGTAATTATGGTGTTTACTTGCCATTTCTCATGCATTAGCGATTGAACACTCGGACGCTTATTCGGACCGTCAGGTATCATGGAAGATATGTAATTATGGTGTTTACTTGCCATTTATCATGCATTAGGGTTTAAATATCCGCACCCGTATTCGGATCCTCTTGCATGATAGCAGATATGTAATTATGGTGTTCACTAGCCATTTCTCATACATTGGGGTTCGAACACTCGGACACGTATTCGGATCCTCTTGCATGATGGCAGATGTGTAATTATGGTGTTTACCAGCCATTTCTCATGCAATAGGGTTTAAACACTGGGACACTTATTCGGACCATCTTGCATGATGGCAGATATGTAATTATGGTGTTTACTTGCCATTTCTGATACATTAGGGTTCGAACACTCGGGCACTCAATCAGACCCTCTTGCATGATGGCTGATATTTAATTATGGTGTTTATTTGCCAATTCTAATGCATTAGTGTTTGAAAACTCGGACACTTATTCGGACCCTCTTGCATGATGGTAGATATGTAATTATGGTGTTTGCCTGGCATTTCTCATGCATTAGCGTTCGAACACTAGTATACTTATTCGGACCGTCTTGCACGAAGACAGATATGTGATTATGGTGTTTACTTGTCATATTGTCATGCATTAGGGTTTAAACACACGGACACGTATTCAGATACTCTTGCATGATGGCAGAAAGGTAATTATGGTGTTTACACACCATTTCCCACACATTTGGGTTCGAACACTCGGTCACTTATTCGGACCCTCTTGCATGATGGCAGATATGTAATTATAGTGTTCACTTGCCATTTCTCGTGTATTAGGGTTTAAACACACGGACATTTATTCGCATCCTCTTGCATGATGTCTGTTTACTCGCCATTTCTCATGCATTAGGGTTTAAACACTCGAACACTTATTCGGACCCTCTTGCATGATGGCAGATACGTAATTATGGTGTTTACTTGCCATTTCTCATGCGTTAGGGTTTAAACAAATGGACACGTATTCAGATCCTCTTCAATGATGACAGATATGTAATTATGGTGTTTAGAAGCAAATTCTCATACATTAGGGTTCGAACACTCGAGCACTTACTCTGACCCTCTTTTTTTTTGTAGTTATGGTGTTTACTTGCCACATTTCTCACGCATTAGGGTTTAAACCCTTGGACACTTATTCAGACCCTCTTGCGTGATGGCTGATATGTAATTACGGTGTTTACTTGCCATTTCTCATGCATTAGGGTTTAAACACACGGACACATATTCGGATCATCTTGCATGATGGCAGATATGTAATTATGGTGTTTACTAGCCATTTCTCATATATTAGGGTTCGAACACTCGGACACTTAATCAGACCCTCTTCCATGATGGCAGGTATGTAATTATGGTGTTTACATGCCACTTCTCATGCATTAGCCTTCGAACACTAATACACTTATCTGCACGATGGCAGATATGTAATTATGGTATTTACATGTCATTTCTCACGCATTAGGGTTTAAACACACGGACACGTATTCGGATCCTCTTGCATGATGGCAGATATGTAATTATGGTGCTTACTAGCCATTTCTCATACATTAGGGTTCGAACGCTCAGACATTTATTCAGACCCTCTTGCATGATGGCTGATATGTAATTATGGTGTTTACTTGCCAATTCTCATGCATTATGGTTTAAACACTTGGACACTTATTCGGACCCCCTTGCATGATGGCAGATATGTAATTATGGTGTTTACTTGCCATTTCTCATGCATTAGCGATTGAACACTCGGACACTTATTCGGACCGTCAGGTATCATGGAAGATATGTAATTATGGTGTTTACTTGCCATTTATCATGCATTAGGGTTTAAACGGAGCCTCTTGCATGATGGCAGATATGTAGTTATGGTGTGTACTTGCCATTTCTCATGCATTAGGGTTTAAACACTCGGACACGTATTCAGACCCTCTTGCATGATGGCAGATATGTAGTTGTGGTGTTTACTTTCCATTTCTCATTCATTAGGGTTCGAACACACGGACAATTATTCAGACCCTCTAGCTTGATGATAGATATGTAATTATGGTGTTTACTTTCCATTTCTAATGCATTTGGGTTGAAACACTTGGACACTTAATCTGACCCTCTTCCATGATGGCTGATATGTAATTATGATGTTTACTTGCCAATTCTCATGCATTATGGTTTAAACACTTGGACACTTATTCGGACCCCCTTGCATGATGGCAGATATGTAATTATGGTGTTTACTTGCCATTTCTCATGCATTAGCGATTGAACACTCGGACACTTATTCGGACCGTCAGGTATCATGGAAGATATGTAATTATGGTGTTTACTTGCCATTTATCATGCATTAGGGTTTAAATATCCGCACCCGTATTCGGATCCTCTTGCATGATACCAGATATGTAATTATGGTGTTCACTAGCCATTTCTCATACATTGGGGTTCGAACACTCTGTCACTTATTCAGAACCACTTGCATGATGGCAGATATGT